CGTTATAAAAATCACAATTTGGTTATAAAAATTAGATTTCAGGGTGGACCGTGATTTTCACTTTTCTTGCCCATGAAGTGAGTAAACTGTGCCACTATTTCATGGTCACCGTGGATTGATTACTGGAGCAGTTGAAGATGCAAAGCCAAGACGTTCCCCAATACCAAGCGGTGGGCAGGAAATTAAGCTCCGGCTGACCTTCAGAGCAGTAGCCCCATTAGCGGACAAAATGAAAGTCTTGTTAATACAACAATACAACTTCGAATTTGACGGTCAGCAGCAGGGGGATATCAATAATGATAATGGAGGGGACATTAGCGATAATGAGAATGAGAATACGCTTTAATGAAGATTTGACTTATTATTGCTATAGATTTATTTTCCTTTAAATACTAGACGTGTCTTTTTTTCTATTTCTGAGTAATATCAGTAACTGTAAATTGAAATAACTTGTTTAACAAGTAACAAAAACAGAAATTTCGGTGGAAAATTTGTTGACCTCTGAAAAAAAACTTGAAAGGTCGGCCACCGGTAAATACATGACCGGGATAAATTGGCGGGTTTTGTGAAAGTCTGCCATATTTTTCCCCGTTATTAATTTTCCCAGTCATAAATTAACCCGCTATAATATTCCCGAGTAAGGTAGTCACATAATAACGCATAATAAAGATATTGTAACTAAAAAGTATCGAGCTTTACAATCGCAATCCTTAGGCAACAAAAGGTTAACGCGTGAAATAACTTATATATAGAATATAAATATCTAATAACTATAACAGATATAGAAAATTATACAACAAAGGGCACTCTATCACAGGATCACAGGATCGCAGGAAGGACGGTCAACAAAGAGATTTTAAAATATGTGCATATTTCAAATTCAAATTAGACACGCAGTCAGGTTTAAACAGCTATAATTCCTTCTGTTCCAGTGTGTCGCTGCTAGTGTTATTTACTGTTCCAATCTTAGACAGACATCAAAAACAAGGAAATGTTATAGAAGATACGTCAGCATGTGAGGAACACTAATGATAGATTTTCTGGTTCCCTTGGAATTTTCAACACAAAAATTGCATGGTAAACATCTGTTATTTGGTCAAAAGATCAAAAATTAAAAAACCAAGATTTACAAATATCAATACTATGTCACTGTTCTTGTAAGAGTATGTTTACATCATCAACACACAGAACGTGCAAATTTGGGTTTACAGTGCAACACATAACATACGAAGTCTGAAAGCGTGTAGCTGCATTTATAACACTAGAGAGAGAGAGAGAGAGAGAGAGAGAGAGAGAGAGAGAGAGAGAGAGAGAGAGAGAGAGAGAGAGAGAGAGAGAGAGAGAGAGAGAGAGAGAGAGAGAGAGAGAGAGAGAGAGAGAGAGAGAGAGAGAGAGAGAGAGAGAGAGAGAGAGAGAGAGAGAGAGAGAGAGAGAGAGAGAGAGAGAGAGAGAGAGAGAGAGAGAGAGAGAGAGAGAGAGAAAGCGAAAGCGAAAGCGCGTAACTGCATTTATAGAGAGAGAGAGAGAGAGAGAGAGAGAGAGAGAGAGAGAGAGAGAGAGAGAGAGAGAGAGAGAGAGAGAGAGAGAGAGAGAGAGAGAGAGATCCCCAAAAATGTAACCTGGACACGCTCTGACACGAGTCTAACACTAACAGCCGCTAGCGAGAAGTCCATTATACCGAAACATGTCATGTCATTCGTGCAGACTGCAAATAGCGACAAATATTTGCTAAATGAAGTTTAATATTTGTAGGGTTTGAGGCAGTATCAAGTCTTATTGCAGGAGACTAAGGCTTCGAAGCTAAACACCAACTTCAAACTATTAACAAACTTCATATACTTTTAGTACGTTGGAATATAATCAATCATGGACGCCGGATGGTTGAACAGACAGAAAAATACGGCTCTATAGTGACGAACAATTCAATTGTTGATGAAAGATATTCATATCCAGGTATGTATTAATATGATTAGTTGGATTTATCGAGATTTCTGAAAATTCCTAACCAAAGACAAATCTAAAGATATTATATACTTTTAATTAGGCGAAGGTCAAATGTGACGATGTTTAAAATTCACGTTCGGTAGCGTACTTAAGTGCCGCCCTCACGCCGCCTCTAGGCTCCAAAAAGCAATGTAATTCTGCTATTGTTAATTTGTATTTAGTATTAAACGACATATTTTGACTGCTCGCGCATCCGCAAAGTTAGATACGTCATACAGTAACTGACAGGAGTGAGAGAGAGAGTGAGAGAGAGAGAGAGAGAGAGAGAGAGAGAGAGAGAGAGAGAGAGAGAGAGAGAGAGAGAGAGAGAGAGAGAGAGAGAGAGAGAGAGAGAGAGAAATAGAATATTGCATTACGATGGTACAAAAAAGTTGATAAACGTATCTAAGATGACTCCAAAGAAAATGTCGATATATTTAGCTCCAGGAGAGTTCTGTTATTTCAAGACTTTAAGAGAGAGTTTAATTGTATCAAGGATAGAGGAAAGAGAATAGAGATTAGAGAATATGGAGAATATAGCAGGCAGCACTTATATTGTTAGCAGGCAGCACTTATATTGTTTTGCTGGCTCTTTGATAAGACTATAAGATCTAACACTCCATCAACATCTTGTGACCTTGAATACCGCCAGCAAGAAGAAGACATGCAAGAAGACCAGCAAGAAGACCTGATAGAAATTAAGATTCACAGTCTGCCGGAGGTGACCATGCCTGACTGAACCAGGAAAAGTATAAAAGAAAAGCCTGCTGTTCACTGAAAACACGCTGGATACTATGAATTTGAAGAACTATAAGTAACTAACTAAAGTATAAGTAACTAAAGTATAAGTAACTTACTAAAGTATAAGTAACTTACTAAAGTATAAGTAACTAAAGTATAAGTAACTAAAGTATAAGTAACTAAAGTATAAGTAACTAACTAAAGTATAAGTAACTAAAGTATGAGTAACTAACTAAAATGTAATAACAAGGATAACAACTCATCAAGTAAGGATATAAATTATAATAATAAATGTGTAACTGTAATCGAGCAATCCGGCAAACCACTTTTAGTACAGTGTTAGAGTGCAAACGCACGTACAGTGTTAAAATGCAGACGCCCGTAGGATAACAGATTTGTCAACACTCAACAAGTGTTGGAGAGTCCGACGCGCACCAAAGACTACGTCATGACATTGTACCTGATTTTTTCCTTTTCACCCTTTTGAAAAAAGGCAATAGTGAAAGGTTACGAATGGACGTTTTTGCAGAAAAACGTGGATTTTGGAGATTGCAGTAGGTGGGTTTGTACATGTCGTGGGTACTTCCGTATGTTACCATGCAACGAAAAAGTTGCGCGCGCGCGAGGATTGCTTGCGGAGATGTGATGTATAGATAGCCTGTGATCTATGAATGCGCGGCGCAACTGTGTTTTACTGTATACGATGTAATGTATAATATTAGGTTATAAGCCCAATTTGTCCGTGGCACGCGTAGTGTATTGATGTGTACACGAGTATAGTTTACAAATACCTTTGCTTACAATTTAAGTTCTTTGCTTTACAAGTTAAGTTCTTTGGCAATTGAACTGAATTTCAAATGTTTCCTGTACTTAATGCATAATTTATCAATATTATTATCATGAAGATTGAAGTGAGCTGATTGGAGCTTATATGTTATACTTAAATTTATAGTAAATGTGAAATGGAAACCTAGCGTCCGCCAAAACGAAACAACGGGCGCAATTCTTGTTATGGAAAAGGAATATCAATAAATGTGTAACAATATAGTAATAAGCCGGGATATAGTTTCACCACGCCTTCTAACAACATTTATGACGTCACGTCTTTTCGCGCCACAAAGGATCAGCTGACAAATACTGGATGACTGAAAAGGTCGTTAAATTCGCATTTCACAAAAACACATGACTTTGAAATAGAGTCAGACGACTATCATGACACAGCAGCACAGACTATAGAAGTTATTTGAATATTCTAATGTTCTTTTGCAGAGACAAAAGGACAACTGAATGCAGACAAAATCTAGAAAATTATTCAAAGACAGCCGACACTATCTAATACAAAAGAGTACAAAATATTAACAGAATTCTTCGATGCTGCTGATGGCGTTACTTATAATAATACATCTCAACTTTTTCTGGAGGATATCCGAGTTCAGAATCAAACATCAAATGACAGATACTACGTCTTGCTGAATGGGTTCTCACTTCTCTCGCATCTGTTTTGGGAATAGGCGTTTCCATGGCTTGGAAATAACTTAAACTTCCTTCTCCCAGTGAAAAATCGTACGAGGTAAAGGAAAAAGTAAAAACATTGTCAACAAATTACAAAATTATGTTGACAGTCCTTTTTGCTGAAGCTAATCTAATCAGACAGTCTGCTCCAGATAGATAGTTGAAAACTTCAAACAAAGACCGGGTCAGAACATGGATAACGGATTTAGAGATATGCTCATTTTTACTACGGGTGATTTAACGGTTGAGCAGTTATAATGTAAGGGGGTAGTCTACCCGATCATTATGTTAAGAGAGCGGTTATTTGGTAATAATAATATAACATCAAATTAATAAATTAAAATTATGATGAAAATAAAACTAGGAATATCTTTTTATCAATACTTATTAAGGATATAGTATCCTAAAGGAAGACTAGAATATTCCAAAGAAACCTTTGGAGAATAATCCTAACAATAATCCGTATAAAAACTTGTCTCGACTAAGGAGTATGTCGTGTTTGTCGTGTTTTTCTGAGTTGCATCTTCCCTCCTCAATTAAGCATCTTCCCTCCTCAATTAAGCATCTTCCCTCCTCAATTAAGCATCTTCCCTCCTCAACTGAACATAATTTTAACAGTATCGTATATACAAGAGCAGTGAGCACAATATGCTGTCGACCCATAAGAGCTCACTACGCAGTGTTCGGACAGGAATATACTTACTACGCTTTAAACTGCAACACATTAAACGTGAACTTCATTAAAAGGTGGACATACTTACAATTTACAAAAATGCTTGAGGTATGTAGTGAGCTTGAGGAATGTAGTCAGCTTGAGGAATGTAGTCAGCTTGTGGAATGTAGTCAGCTTGAGGAATGTAGTCAGCTTGAGGAATGTAGTCAGCTTGAGGAATGTAGTCAGCTTGTGGAATGTAGTCAGCTTGAGGAATGAAGTCAGCTTGAGGAATGTAGTCAGCTTGAGGAATGTAGTCAGCTTGAGGAATGTAGTCAGCTTGAGGAATGTAGTTAGCTTGAGGAATGTAGTCAGCTTGAGGAATGTAGTCAGCTTGAGGAATGTAGTCAGCTTGAGGAATGTAGTCAGCTTGAGGAATGTAGTCAGCTTGAGGAATGTAATCATCTGGAGGAATGTAGTCAGCTTGTGGAATGTAGTCAGCTTGAGGAATGTAGTCAGCTTTTGGAATGTAGTCAGCTTGAGGAATGTAGTCAACTTGAGGAATGTAGTCAGCTTGAGGAATGTAGTCAACTTGAGGAATGTAGTCAGCTTGAGGAATGTAGTCAGCTGGAGGAATGTAGTCAGCTTGAGGAATGTAGTCAGCTGGCTAACAGGAACATGACAACTAGAAGTGTAAAAGATCCCACGAGTCAACTATTGGTTAATGTAATGTAGTATCAATAGTGTTATGATTGTTACTAACGATGTTACTTATCTTAGCATGGAGCTTTAGCTCACTCTTATTACAAAGGTAAGAGCAAGTCATTTCATTGGTGACTGAAGTGAATACGAACGACGCTATGGATGAACAGATGAAAGAGGTACAGGCCAGCTTGGCTTTGTTGATGAAGAACAACAAGGAAATGTCGGAAAAGATCGCAGTCCTGGAAGTAGAGAACCGGGAGATCAAGAAGAATGCTGGCAATGTTCAGGAGCGGATCCAGGAGAATAAAGCGAAGTGGGAGGAAATGAACAAGGAAGCAGTAGAGTTGCTCCAGCGGATGACATTGGCCCAAGAGGACTTGGCGAATGACAATGTCGAGGCGGAGTACTTTCAGAAGAGTTGCGCAGAAACAGTACTAGCCTGTACAATGCTGACGGGCAGTTATGGCGGAGAAATGGCCCAAGGAAGCATCAAGGTGAAACAGGAGCCAGTAGAGGAAGAAATGCTGGGGACGCCGTACGACGCGATGGGAAAGGAAGAGAGGATAGACCTATCTTTCGGACACGACGGGGACTACTCTGCAGTTTCAATGAGAAGGTTCATCGAGAGATATAAAGTGGTCAAAGAGCTGAACATGCGGGCACGACTGAGAGGATGGGACTCCCCATCCTACAGGGCTGGGAAGCTGACGCTTTGTCTGCAAGGGGAAGCATTTGACTACGTGAGTTTTGCGAGCTCCATGCTGAATCCGTGGACAAGTAACGACGAATTACTTGTAAGTAAGTTGAAGGATAAATTCACGAATGTACAGGCAATCGAACTGAACATTCTTGGGTTTGAGAAGAGTATCCAGGAGCCCAGGGAGACAATCAGTGACTACATGACCCGACTGCAAATGACGGTGAAAGAGGCATACGACGGAGATAGCCAATTAGACCTCGACAGAAGGGTAGCATGGAAGTTTGTAAGTGGATTGGGGGACGAGAGGATCAAGCGGAAGCTGCTAGAGGGTGGCTGGATGAAATCACGGCAAGAGGCGAAACCCCTGGAGGACCTCCTGAAGGTAGCGGATATAGCAAAGAAGACGGACGACGCAGTAAAAGCCATGGGTAAGGAGACCGGCAGCATCAACGCAGCACAAGAATATTCGGTTAGCGCGTGGGAGCAGAAGTCATCGTCACATGCTGGAGACAGGAGGAAGCAATCATCCGGTGAGTCAGGCCGGTCAAACAGGAGCAACAGTTCGAGAGGAAGTGGTGAATCATCAGACGGGCTACCACTAGAATTCCTTGAATGCTTCTACTGTAAAAAGAAACACCGAGGGGGATGGTTTCACTGCGCAGTGCGAAAGAAGGAGGACCCTACGTGGAGACCGGCAAGAAGAGGTGACAAGGCTGGAAGAGGAAGGGGTACGGATTTTCGGTAGAGCCCCCTATAGACGGGCAGAATGATGGGGGCGGGGAGAATACTGGAGAGCAACCTAGCAGCAGAGAAAGGGAGGAGCATGACGTGAAACCTTGGGCATGTGCCAGAGCCCAGTTTCGGGTCATTACTCCTGAGAAGGGTGGTAAAGGACGGCGGAAGCAGTTACATCAGATGAAGGGGATCGCTTCAGAGGGTCTGAACTCGACACCATATATTAGGATTAAGTGGGAGAATGGAGTTGAGGAAACTGCACTGTTCGATACAGGGGCCCAGTGGTCATTAATATGTGAAGACTTACTTACAGAACAGGAGAAGGCCACAATGGAGAAATCGGCGTTATGTGGAAGAGGAGTATCCGGCGAAAGAATACCTGTCACGGGAGAGATACGAAGAACTGTCTCTGTGGGTGGACTGACTTTTGCCCACCAGCGATTCATTGTGGTTGAGAAGATGATCTGCTCGATGATATTGGGGATAGATTTCTGGTCTAGGATAGCCAACATATCATTTGACTTCAACAAGAGTGTGATGACTATCAATGGTAACAGTGAAGAGATAGAGTTGCTATGCCACCCAGCCGCAGGCAGGAGCAGCGTCGCAGGGACCATCGAGGAGGAGAACTCAGTGGAAGTGGTAGTGGATGCCGAACGTAAGATCCCTACCAGGAGTGAGGCGTTAGTGACATGTTACATCCCCAACATGGAGATGGGTAAGGAGTATATGGTTCAACCAATAACGTTTGACGATAAGCTAGTAAGCACACCTTACGGGATTGTTCAGGGAACAAAGAGCGGTAAGGTACAGATCAGGGTAGCAAATCTAGGAGAGGAAGAGGTGACCCTGGCAGAAGGGGATCCCATTGCTACAGTTGAACTCGGGACCATATGGGTATCGAACCACAATGCGGGTAAAGCGTTCACCAGGGCTACAAAGAAAGGCAAAGCAACGGAATTGAGCGAGTTGGTGTGCAGTGAGCTGGAGCCGAGCAAGAGGGGTCAAATAATAGGACTTCTAAACAGATATGAAGGTGTGTTCTATAAGGGAGGAGAGCTGCCTATTGTTAGAGTGGGTGTGGAGCACACCATAAGGCTGAAAGAGGACAGCTCACCAGTAGTGAGCAAGCCGAGGAGGTTGTCAAAAGAGCTAGCCGATGAAGTCCGGGAACACGTCGATGAGCTACTCAAACAAGGAGTAGTCAGGGAATCTAACAGCCAATGGGCATCACCCATAGTGTGTGCACGCAAGAAAGACGGGAGCCTGAGGATGGCGATTGATTATCGGATAACCAATGAGAAGTCAAATACAGCGACTTTACATCCAATACCACTCATTGACGATCTTTTGGACAGGCTGGGGAAGGCTAAGTACTTTGCAGTCCTTGATGCAAAGTCGGGATACCACCAGTTACCACTACGAAAGGAAGATTCGGAGACAACGGCATTTGTAGTACCATGGGGGCATTATGAGTTTGCAGGAAGAACCCCGTTTGGTTTGAAAGGTGCAGGATATTCGTTCCAAAGGATGATGTCAGTGATCTTGGGGAGTTCAAACTTCGTCGATGCACTGTGCTATTTGGACGACATCCTAGTCTGGGGGGAAACTTGGGAGGTATTCATGAAACGGCTCAAGAAGGTGCTGGAAAAGGTGAAGGATGCAGGCCTGGCCTTGGCATCGAAGAAGTGCCAGTTTGGAGTCAGGGAGGTCAGTTACTTGGGATGCACCATCAAAGAAGGCATGGTGAAGATAAACGAACAGAGAGTGCAGCAACTGAGGAGCATAGAGCGCCCTCATAATGTACGAGAGCTTAGAAGGGCTTTAGGTGCGTTTGGCTACGTGCAAAGGTGGCTACCAGGATTGTCACAGATTGCCAGGCCATTGTATAATGCGATCACGGACCAGCCGTATGCCCGGCTGAAGTGGACGGAGGAAATGAATGAATCATTTTCAACAATAAAGAAATTGATTGCGGACGCAGTGTCGTTGAGTTTGCCCGACATGGATAAGCCATTCACCTTAGTAACAGACTGTAGTCAAATGGCAGCAGGAGCCATGCTGGCACAGAGGTGCATGGAAGCACCGGATACCCTGAAGCCTGTGGCATTCTACCACCACGCGTTATCCAAAGCAGAACAGGGATACTCAGCTACCGAGAAGGAGTTGTTGGCGATGGTTAAGGCAGTAGTGAAGTTCAGAGTGTATCTAGGCAAGCAGTTCAACCTTATTACGGACCACCAAGCACTGAGTTGGCTTCGTTCACTTGAACCGGAGAATGAGACGGGGAGAAGGGGACGTTGGTTAGACCTGATTCAGCAGTTTGACATGAAAGTCACTCATAAGAAAGGGAAAAGCCCAGAGATGAGAATAGCTGATTACCTTTCACGGGTCAAATGTGACGGAAATGTAGCTGTAAAAGACCGTAGTGAAGTGTTTGTCGTGATGACCGCTGGAGGCGAGGAGGCGATAACTGTCAGTCGAGAACAGATCCTGAGCGAGCAGAGCAATGACGCAGCAGTACAAACGATGCGTAAGGCGGTTTTGAAAGGAACAGATCTGAACCCCGGGAATAGCGAATCAGAATCGTGGAGGAAGCCCAGCGGGAGCAACGATGAGGAAGTCAAAGCGATGTGGAAGCATAGGGACAGGATTTTCATCGACTCAGAGGGGATATTAAGATTACGGTTCAACGGGGGAAAGAAGCGGGAAAGCAACCCTTTCGGAACAGTGGAAAAGAACAGGATAATAGTTCCTAAGACGTACAGGGACAAAATTATGAATCTTGTTCATAGGAGTGCTACAGCGGCGCATATGGGGAACACACGCACCTGGAAGAGGGCACGAGATAACTTTTGGTGGCCGAACATGAGGCAAGACATAGAACAATACGTTCAGGCATGTGAAGAGTGTGGTCTGAACAAACACGTTAACAACCCGAATAAGGCGCCAGTGTCCAAGACGAGTATACCCGGAAAACCTCTGGAGGAGATGATGCTTGATTTTCTTGGTCCATTCCAAACAGCGAGGGAGCATCCATACAGGTACGTCCTCCAGATGCAATATGTGTTTAGTCGATTCATAATCTTTGTACCGAGCATTGATGCAAGAGCAAAAACGGCAGCAGATGCAGTGGTCGAAAGATGGATAAGTCTTTTCGGGATCCCGGAAAAGATGAGATCGGATAGAGGTCCACATTTTATTGCAGAGGTGTTCGAGGAACTGTGTAAAAGAGTGGGTATCAGACACAAGTTGGGTTCACCGGGACACCCCCAGAGCCAGGGGCAAGTAGAGAGGCAGAACCAGTTAATGAACCAGATCAGATGCCTTTGCGAGAACGATGGGGAGAAGTGGCCGGAGGCCTTATACCTGGTACAAGGGAGCCACAACAACTCGATCAACGCTACAACAGGTTTTACTCCAGCTAGGCTTTTGTTTGGCAGGGATTTTAACCGACCAGACGACATGATTGCTCAGGAGAGGGATAAGGTGAAGACGCCTGGAACAACTGTATTGGAGGAGAGGGACGAAGAATGCAGACTGTTGACTGAGCAAGCACGAACAAACCTGGTTGAATATCAAGAGGAGAGAGTGGAATCAGCAGAGAAAGAAGGACCCTGCAATACCCCGTACGAAGTAGGCGACTTGGTGCGTTATAGGCTCACGGACGAAGCAAGGAGCAATAA